GCCCAAGGTCACACAGCAAGTTAGCAGTAATGTCCATGTTAGAATCTAGGCTAGTATTCTTTCTATTATATCTGATTTATTCTCTATAACTGCTGTTGATTTGCCCTTAAATACTAAATCAGGTGAACATGATACTTGCCTTATTACTGGTATTATGGGATAGCATTCACCTGATGGCAGCTTCCAAAGGAGACTCTGATGGCACCGACCAGGTTCTATAAGTTTAAGTTCAACCAAATTAAGTGGTAGTAAATGCTACAGGTTGTAAAGTATACTTGTATACCAAGGTGTGCAGGTGGAAGTGATAGCTCAGCTCCCGCATTTGCAGATTCAGTTAGATAGTATTTAATATGAAACAAACATTCCCAATTCACGGGAAATTGGGTTATATTCATTGGGTCCCTAAAGGAGTATGGATCAGAGAAGGAGTGAACGAAATGAAAGCTAACCAACAGAAAACACAAATCTTTTATGAAAACTTCTTTCAAAGGAAAAACATTTCTGTTATTTCCAAGGTCCCATTTAGTAGTTCCTTCCCAGTCCACATGCAAATATATGTTCAGAATTGTGTGTTAAGTTCCCTCAAAATCCCAGGCCCATTAGACTGTCATTTTACAAATGCTGAATTTCAGTCCTTTTGCTCAGAGACTGGAAGATACTGGCATCACTGGCCATGCCTTTCTTCAACTGAGTATTAACTGCAAGTAGCTCAGAAAAGGACCATAAAATTCAACCGGGATGGCAGGGTTCAGACTCCAGTAAGTATTTGTACATTGAGAATGGCCAATGAAAAGCCTGTGAGTTGACTAGGTATCAGGTCTGCTCTTGGTGAAACTAAGTAACATACTTGAGGCTACTACCTCATCTTTAAAGTCCTCACCTGAAGTTTCTTTGGTGAGGTAGAAGGGAATTCCTCTCTTTTGGTCAGATGGTTTCCCTTCCTCTTTAAAAAAAATCACAGCTACTGCATACAACCTATAATTAGGCAGAACAAAAAAGCACATGGAGACCATCTTCTTAAGCCCAAACTAACAGGACTGAATGCCAATAGGCAGAAATAGTCCTAAATATCTGTCTTAAGGATTTCAGAGTCAGTTTTTAATTCCAAGTCATGACTTCCACTGAAATCAGTAGGACTTGCCTATTGGTCATTCAAAGAAGAATTCTACCTGTACGATATGCAGTAACATCCCCTTGGACAAAGAAATTGTAGGAGACAAAGATTTTGTTTTTTTATCCTTCTAGTCTTTCAAAATTCAACCTGAAAGTCTGCTAAAACCACCCAGAAAGGTGACACCTCCAACAGATGTTCTCATGGGGGAGGGCTAATGAAATGGTCACCCCTCTAATCCAAAATCTAATCCACAAAACAGACACCTGTGTGCCATACCAAAGCAGAGGGCAGCCTGTTTTAAAGCAGAAGAGTGGAGTTGGAGTTCTAATAGTGGCATCTCCCTAGCTTTAACTTATAGATAATAGTCTCCTAAGAAAGCACGTGCCATACCCAAGCGTGTGCCAACCTCAGCACCCAGGCAAGTATAAAGCCTATGGAATAATTGTAACTAGCAAATATCTGTGCCCTGCATGCTCTGGGCTCTGGCCAGAAGGAATCTGCTTCTGGCATCTTTTCTATGTTTCTATAGTTCCCTTTCTGATGTTTGTTTATTAAAAAGCAGTATTACAACAACATCAAAAAAATTTTTTTTAAAGAAAAAAAATTTTTTTCACATAATCCCACCACCCTAATACAACTGATTTCAATGATCTGTGTTCCCAGTCTTTGTCAATATACACACTGATTTTTACATAGTTGTAATCCCTGTCTATGCTATTTAAAAGTGATTTTATAGAACCTCTCTGAGAACTGGCAGCCTCATTAGAAATAAACAACCCACTGAGCAAAGGAATAGAATTATTTACACGATCTTTGAGCTGAGAAATATCCTTTATAGACAAACATCTCAAACTATCAAAACAGTTATACAGACAACAGGAAGCAATTTCATATTTCTTTTTCTTTTAGCAATGGAATGTGCTTCACAGGGGAGGGGTAGAAGTGAGGACCAGGTGGTTAAACTCAACATCGAGGTGCAGTTCACAAGCCTGAAAGAAATCTGAGTAACACAATTAAAGAATAAATACTTGAGTTAAATCTTCTTACATGACTTGGCCATCCAGTAGCCAAAATGGAACATGGACGCACAAATATTTACAATGACACTAGACGAGATCAGCAAGAACGAAGTCATTACCCAACATGGTGACTGATTTCAGGCGATTGTGTCATCCAAGTAACTCCTCATGGGATTATGACAACGCACCGGATCCTTGCTACAACATTAGTGTTCCTTTCTTTTTTAAATAAATAATCTCTACTGTGCTTCTCACCCTTCCCTGACTTTCCCACTGCCCTATTCCGATCTCAGGACATTTTAGAATCAACATCTGATCATGTGCCTTCATGATCTGAGGGCACACTAGCAACATTAAAGATCTGGATAGACTCACCTGTATCAAGATGAGCAAAAAAAAAAAAAAAAAAAAAATCCAGAGAGAGGGAATAAATTCTTAACCACCTGGAGTCCAAGTTGTTCAAGTGTACCAAATGTGAATCCTTCAGCATCATTTTGGCATGAGAAACAGTTTCTCTCTAATACTTACTAGAAATATACGTAACTCTCCAATGCAGGGAAAGGCCTTTAGAAGCTGTTCTCAGTTGAAAATTTACATAGATATAAATTTGTAAGATTAATGCCTAGGGGAATATATGATCATCAAATCTTGGTACAAATTGGTGGTAAAGAAGTACCTGGCTCCTCATTGCTGATGTGCTGAACTGAAAGCATAAAAGAGAAGTCACTTCTCTGCTTACAGTGATCTGAAGGATCGCGGCTCCAGGGTCTCCAAAATAATGACAAATAGGCCTTTGCAACATATAAGGGATGCTAGTGGATGAGCAGGGCTTCCCAACCAGGTTTTCGGCTTTCTCTACTGGCAGGGTATAGTCGCCAGTGTACTGAATTTTATTTGCACCCCAGGTATTGAATTTTCTGGCACTATGAGTAAAAAATGTAATAAAAACAACTTCACGTTCAATGAAATCAAAATTAAGGCCCCTCTCTCTCGTTAGAGCAGCGTGGCTTTAAAAATTTCAGGCCCAGCTACTTTTTTGCAAAGCTTAACATAGTATGCTTCAAATTAATATTATCATTTGGTTTTCCCTTCCCATTTGTTGTTCTAGCCCACTATGGATATTGTCAGAGGGTTCAAGCCCCTTCCAATTTTTATAGTCAAAGAAAATCACAGGAAAATAGATAATCTACCAGTGGCGTCATCTCCTAAACATAAACATGCGCACCACATGGTTAGCTGAAAGTCTAAAGAAAGTGATTTCAATTTGAGGAATGGATGGATGGATGGTTAGATGGATGGAAGTACCTTGGCAGAGAAGAAAAGAATGCCATGTCATTGACCTCTTTCCCCCCTTGCTGAATGTAGATAGGTTCTATTCAGAATCTTCACATACTACAAATCAAGAAGCCTTCTATAGCACAAATGGTTAGCTTCTTAAAGGCTTAGAGAAACAACTTTCCGGAATTCGCAAAATTGACAATACACTCACAAGAGAAGCATATCCTTTTCTACATAGATATCCTCCAGCTATTTTTCTACTCTCAGAAGATTCAGGAAGTGTCAACTGTTGAATTTTTAATAGATTATATGGTGAAATAAGAGTCCAATTTTGCTGTTTTCCACAAGCCACAAAAGGAATTCAGTTGGACTGACATTTCTTGGGATATGATTGTAAGCCAAAATTATTTCCACTGGAGAATTTCGAGATCTTTACAAACATGCTTTTGATAGTCAGGAGTCCAAGGAACTAAGTATGAACACACCCTATCCTGAAACAGAAATCGGTGACATGTAGGGAAAATGGGAATAAGTATTTAGAGCCAAATGCCTATTGGGCTGTAGCTTTCACTGACCTCCCATTTCTTACAGAGTTTAATGTTTACTACATCTCTGTTCTCTGTATCTTTTACAAATGGTAGAAACTGTCAAAACAAATAGTATTTATCATACGGAAATGTTGGTTCATGGATCTATTTCCTCCTGATGTGACTATTTTACAGTCCCTATGTTCCACAAGCACAGGAGAAGATTAAAGTAGATAAGATACCCTTACCTTTGTTTTATGCCCAACACAGATGTCAGTATTACTCCTGTATCTTATTGTACTTTTTTTGGCTCTTACAGAAAAGTTCCATCTTTGCCTAGAAATGGTTTCTCCTATCGGGATTCCCTAGGTTCCGAATCTGGACTCCACCATGCAGGCTTGCCACAGTTTCAGCGTGTCTGCCCTCTTTCAGTTATCATAGAGATTCACAAACTGGTTGACATAAATGACAAATCGACTACCTCTAAAGCCTCATGGTGAAAATGTGGCAGGATTTCACCACTGGAGCTTCCTTTAGATGGATAGGTTTAAAAGCCCTTCCTGACCATACAAATTCCTCTCTCCTTTTTGGAAAATGTCTTAAAAGAAACCTTTTCCAATACAAATGCAGAAAAATAGGTACACAAACCAAGCCACCACGATAGAAGAAGAATAAAAAATTGCAACTCTATTAGGGCATGGACTTCCACATGGTCACACAGTACTTGCTCTGTTTTTTTGTTTTTTTTTTTTGTTTTTTTTTTGTTGTTGTTGTCGTCATTTGCTTGTTTGGTTTTTTTTCTTTGCTTTTTTGCTTTTTCTTATTTTAAAAAAAAACACTTTGACATCTGTTTTATTCTGGACATCTAATGACAATGCAAGTGAAAAACATCACATGGGGTAAGGAGTTTCGAAGGAGGTTCGAATGCAAGAGGGACTACTCGCTAACTTAAAAACAAACACAACACTATGAAGAGGAAGTGTGCACCTTTGAGAAACTTGTTTTTCTTCAAAGCGAATGCACAAAATGAGGGGATTCACTACTGGCTCTTTCGCTTCACGGTGGAAGTGACCACTTCATGGCCACTTCAACATTGCTGCCCTATTTGGGCTGCGATTCAGGCTTACAAATAAATTACATAATCTGAGGGAGTAGGAAAAAGGCTTATCAGAAGTTTCTATTCATTTTAAAGGTAAAGAACCCCCACCCCTTTCGACTGTCCTTTCTTTCGTCTTTCTTGCAGCAGAGTTTTATTTCAGTCTTACTCATGAGGGAGATGGTGAGGGGTAAGGCTGGCAGTCCTAGCGGCTGCTGTTCTTAATCGCTTCCTTTGCAGCGATGATCAGAGGAGTCAGGCTGGAGAGAGGCTTGGCTAATTTTAAAAATGGATGCTACGAGAGGAAGGGGAAAAAAAAAGAGTGAAATCACTGGAATTCTTTTTTCCAAGTATATGACTTTACATTTTCAAACAGCTCTTTTTATTAAAATATATTTTGAACACTCAATTGAACATCCTTTAGACAACGAGGTGCCAGCTTTTGTCTTTTAAGATGTTTTGTCTTTGGTTCAGGATCATGAAATCTTCTGGTAGCTGATGGGCAAAGCTAGAAACTCTGAGAAGGGATCTTGTAAAATCTCACTGTGTTTGCAACGGTTTCAGTTTCTGATTCTCTGGAAGTGATGAATTTATCTGGAGCAGCTCTTATGCTTGGAAAGATATCTTCCTTGACCACTGAACACCTTTATTCTGAAACCAATCGCTTACTACCTGTTAAACCCAATAGCTGTGCCTCTGCCATTTCTCTTTTGGTGTCGTTGTCATACTTGGCACAATGTTTTCCTCTTTGGGGGCTGTGACATTTACCTTTCTTGGGTCTCTTCTACAAACACATGACTACTCTTGTTCCATCTTTTTCCCTGGTTTCACTTCCTCTTCCTACCTCATACTAGAACATGGCTCTCATCATCTTGCTCTTTTTCTAATTTAATTTCTTTTTCTTTTTTTTTTTTT